TATGTACTCATGCAGCGGCTGAAATGGGGCTTGCAACTCCCCCCCCCCCCCCCCCCCAGATCCGCTACTGCTGTCTCGCCCTGGTATTCGATCAATTTAATTAGTTTGTGGTGTATGGGATTCAGACTAAAGCAATTCCTGTATCAACAAACATATTTTTTTTTTTTTTTAAGTTGCATGGTAATAATCACTCCCATTTATCTTTCAAACGATAACAAGCAAACTGCAAAAAGGGGAACATTGTACAATTTCGTAATAAAGACAGAATTAGAAACCACCAGGTCTACATTTTCAATTGTATTTGTTATTTCGGGTTCGAATCAGAAAACAGGGAAGGAAATACCATCTGAGGGTCGTCTATTGGGAACAGGGTTGAATAATTAAGAAGGCCCCGGGAACGAGGTTGGCCCTGATCTCCGTGCGTCGCATGAGAAGGCGACCCTCGTCCCGCTCACGTGATGAGAAGCAATCAGCCGAAGCGCACTAAAGATAACTTGATTTTCCTGCCTCCCTCCTGCTTATTAGGTTTGGTGGAGCTGATCAATCGATAGCACATTACATTCTCTTTCACCCTTCCCCCACAACAGACTCGAACTCAGCAGGAGGCCCCTGCCTCTCAGTGAGAGAACATGACAACCCACACACACACCACCAACACCAACACGGCAACATGAATTCTGTGCCGAGTGTTAATGTCAGGGAGGCCTGACGCGCCCTGCCAGGCAATTAAACCAATCGCTGACGACATTCGTGCGTCTCTGCGAAGCCAAAGATCAATGAACTCTAACCACTGTAGGATAGTGCACTTATTTATTTATTTATTTTTTTAACGCCTGCGTGAAATGGGAAAGGAAAATTGGCAAGGAATTCAAGCACTTAGGTACAATGCAGAGACACGTACGGTCTTTACTGGACTCACCTGAGAAGTAGTCTTAGTTGGGACAGGCGTCACTCGATAGCAATATGCTTTACGACATACACTGCATATACATACAAAGCTTACAGACTTACTGTAGTAAACACGGATGTGTAGCCTAGTGCGAGCACTCGACTGTGAAGTTGGTTGCAATTGGTGCCAAAATAAATCTATCAGACATTCAAACTAAAATGTTGCTTAAACGGGCTTTGCTCCGTGACCACCATGTGGCCATACAAGTATGCTACTGTGTATTTTTAGGGTCATATTCCTTAAACACAAACTTTGAGTTTTCTTTTCATAAAGGCAATCAAACTGACGAGCATTGTTTTAAGGATCCGCTTCTTTTTTTTTACCGTGAGCTTTTTTTTTCGTATTTACGAAGTCACCAATATTGTGTTTCGATTATAATATCGGTATAATAATATATAGCGGTATAATAGTATTGTAATAATTCAAAGAAAAACATAAGAAAACAACAAGAAACCCGATAGTCCTACAATAATTTATCCCTGGAGATGTTTATGGTTCAAATACTCCCCTTGGCGTCATGCCTTTGCCCCGCCCACTTTCCATCAACGACCAACCCCCCACTGATTCAACCGTGGCCTAGAAAGTTGGAGCATAGAGGACATTTCTTTTTCCCCCTGTTTTGACTCTCTGTCCGTCGATGGAAGCTGATGTATGAGCGACAACTCGACTCGTTTTCCGGGTCAGTGGAGAGACGTCTAGAAACCAGATGGATGGATTGGCACCACGCTTGAAAGACCGCCCTGTTAATCTGACACGGACCTCCACACACCGACAGGCAATTTTACAGTGGCTTGTTTTCCTCGCACTTTGAACAAGAAATGCCAAACACTCTCTTGTCAAGGGATGTTTCCACGAATAGAAAAGTGGCTTTGTTTAAACAAACCGTGAACCTTCGCTAGTGGATAAGGTCTTCATCTGAAAATTATGACCGTATTTACGAAGCACTGCGCTGTACAGAACCCTAAGAGGCAAAACAAAACTTGTATTTGTTATTCTCCCTTCTCATTGTCAACTTTACGATTTGGAGTTTTAATCCGTTTGAAAATTATGGAGGAAAAAAATAAGCCATAATCATACATTCTCTTAAAAGATTTCAAAACTGCAGGAGGAAGCATCTACACTTCAAAGTCTCCCGGGTAGCATACCCCCAAGCTGAGATCTTAAGTTCTCGCATCAATGCCATCCATTCACAGCTAACTCCCTTTTACCGAAAAAGCGTTGAATTTCCCCTTTTATTGCTTTCGTGCGATAAAAGCCCAAAGAGTATATAATAAGGGAATAAATGTGTGCTTGGACGGGTTTTTTTTAAACTCTGTTTATGGCCGGTTTTAAACACTCCGTTAAAGACCGGTTGGAGTTTGGATGCTGATAATTACCCGAGCCGAAGGCGATTGTAATTATCAGCGTCCAGACTCCAACCAGTCTTAAACAAAGTGTTTAATACCGGCCAAGTACGTATTTATTCTCATTCCTCAATACCCTTTCAATCAAGTAGTCAAAACGTTTCGGTCCCGAGGTCAACACAAGTCAAAACTTATACAATTCCAAAGATATTGTTCAACAACTTTACTTGACATTTTTTGGGACACCCCGTCTAGCTACATTATTATGTCTTGTCTCGCGAGTGACGTAAACAACTCCTTATGTGCAGATTGGCGCGCGCGTCGCACGTACTGCGCAAGTGGCGCACAACGCAGCTGTAATATACCGGTGTATTGCGAAATTTGGACTTACTGGTAGAATTGCGCATGCCTACGTGAGGACTGTGAACGTTCAACTCAGAAAACGGTAAAAGGCACCGGATTTCATTTGAGTAAATTTCATGTGCCACTGAAAAGTGTTTACGACCGGCCAGCCGGTCTTTATCAACCATTGAAGTCCAGCCGTGTGACGGGCTCTTGACCAATCGTCATGGGTCAACTGGCTAACAATATTTCTTCTCTGCACCCATTGTAAAAACATCTGGTGTCCAAAGTTTGCAAATTAGTGTTACACGATAATGCTTTTACCATTTTGTTAATGCGCATCAAGCAACACAGTTTACTGCCGTGAGTCGGACGAGGACTTCCCACCAAATAATTGACTTCAATAAAGGTACGGCTAGACTCGCAGTCCCAATAAGTTCCTCTTCCCTTTGCAGGATGCCAGTCGTATAAATTACGACTTTGCGTTTTGCAAACATGGTCGGGCGTTTCTGGGCAACTTTGGAGGATCACTCACGGGTTGACTTGTTCCTACGCCAGGACGCTATTGAACACATCCCAAATGCTACATGAGACATTTGATTGACTTCACGTTGAGTCAACAGACTCCGCATGTTTACAAACACTCCATAAACTTACAACGGGCAGTCAAATGATGTTTTCCCGTGCTTTGCAAATCTAAATACAATGCAGATTATCACTGAATATTCAGTTTCTAATTAATTTGAATGTTATGTATATACTAAATATACATTGTCTCCAATCGGCAGAATATGGTAACAATATTGCACCTCTCTTAACAAATTAGTATATGCAGTGTTCATTTAACACTCTAGTCACCTTTTGTTGTGCAATGTGATCCATAATAATATAACCCTATAACATTCAGTTACAAAGTGTCTTAAAGGCAATATACACATTTGCAAACATAAAAAACTATACCAAACTGTCATGAAATACCTTACTTATCTGTTAGTGAATAACAGCATCAGGCATTCTATAAATTCATGGCACCTGGAGTGCTGACATTTTCAAGAAAGGTGGAATTTTCGTATTAATTTCCAAAGATGGTCGGCCGACCATCGTTTGAAAATATGGCTTTTCTAAATACTTTCCCTGATTTACCAAATTGAGTTAGTCCACATTGTTTTTGCAATCGGTTACACATCTGTGAACTGGTGCGAGCCAGCTAGTCTGGTTCCCTGACCAGACAATTCCCCGACGTCAATAAATTGCTCCGTTTCACCTGAACTGGGGTCAAGGAACCAAAACTACAAGAACATGATTTAAAACAGGTCAGTGTAACAATAATTGCTATAAAACTAATCCCCACAAATCCATCCATTTCTGAAAAATACAGCTAGAGCAAATGTTGTATGTTCCCTTTAAGAGACGTATTCAATTCTATTCGCTAAACAAATATTCTGCACTCTCCAGTGAACCAATACAGAGTGGGACAATATAAAGTATTATCCAGTGATATTTAAGTCAAGATATTTGAGTATTTTTATTCAAATCAAAGTTAAATAATTATAACCCTGTCCTCAAGAAAATAATGCGATGTTTCGGAGCAAACAGAAGCCGTCAGATTCTGACAGATTTTACCAAACTTCCAGTCGACTCCAAAAACCAGTAGAAACATACATCCCGACGTGTCCGCCTCAATGCCAAGGTCGTGCGCACTTTATTTTGATAAACGGCCCATCCTTGAATAAACATTTCCAAGATTCCAAGAGCCCATATAATCGTCTTGTGAGTCACGTACTTAATAATGGAATAGTCAGCTTGTTTTCAAAGTGGAAGTTGATTTAAGTGGTTCCTCTGGACCTATTCTTTCCACTTCAGAGATAAACTGAACGGGGGGTGTTTCTGCAACTGCCGTACGGCTGAAGCTGTGCTAACTTCGGTGCACCTTGTGCAGGCAGCCGAAGCAATAAGAATGTCACTGCGATAACGCCACTCTGGAAACATTATGTGATATAATGTGCAGTCGATTGTGACATGAGTTGTTAGGATTCTCGGCGTGTGATTCGTCCTCATTGGGAAATGTACAACTGCAGTGTGCACACGACACAATGCTCATTATTAATGGTGCATGGAATTATGAAGTATTTCAGTTAATGTGGCTTAGCCAGTGCATAGCAGCTTATTTTTCAGAGTTTGTTTTCTCCGTAACTAGATTACAAAAAGCTTGACCTTCTTGATGACTAGGTCTACTCATACCAGTCGAATCGTTGAGTACAACAAATCGAAATTTTATGAATGAAAAAAATGTGTTTTCTCGAGAAATAGCGTATTATCCTCTTTCGTCGAAACAATTGTATTCAATGATTAAAATTAACCTGAAAAAAAATGCACAGGTTTAAACTCATTTTCAACGCATTTGGTGCGCAGAGCGAGCGCTGAGTTTCGTAAGATCATTTGGGGACCGAAGAAAGACATCTTACAATGAAATTTTGTTTCCCCGGTCTGCACATGCGCAATTGGGCTTTCGCCGATCCTATATCTTTGTTTTGTTTTTCTAGCGGATAGTTCATGTATGTACGATTTTCTTTTTACGAGCCGCGTGTGTCTGTGTATATAGCGCGGCTCCCCGTGTTGTTTGATCACCGCTCACTGGGACTGGTATGCCGACAACTGCCCCTCGCATCGTCTGAAAGCTACACGGGACGAAGACGGGACCAGGCCCCAGGCCACAGGCCCACCCCCTCAGGACAAAACAAAACACGGCACCGCACGACATCTTAGGCTGTCCCCCTCAAAGAACGGCCCTAGCTCGCAGTCAGTGCCAGCGCTGTAACACACGCACAGCCACGGCAGTTGTCGTGTAGGCAAAGCTCGGCATGCAGTGATTCGTGTGCAAGCCGAAAGGAGAGGCCGTCCAACGCACAGTTCGTCTTTTGTATCTCCAGCTGAGGCTCGCCCAGTATAAATCTCCAAGGCAGAAAGACAAGCCGGTCGTTGACAGAGACGCATATCCAAGACGGATATGAGCTCGGAGAAGAACGGCAAGAACCTGGAGTACCTGTCCATGGAGGAGTCCCAGGAGGTCATGGTCAAGGGCAACGCCTACGAGAAGGGGCGTGGCCGGAAGCCGCCTAGTAACGGCAGGGCCGGCTGGCTCCGGAGGCGTACCACCTTGGAGAAGTTCCTCATCGTGTTCCTGCTTGTGCTCATCTTGGTCTGTATCGTCTTGCTCGTCAGTCTAATCGTCACGGCAGGTAAGAATCCGGTTGATATCTCCACTTTTATATCCGTCAGGTTTAGCCCACGCGTTATAACGGAACGCCTACACATTGTGTCCTAAGGCCGAATTGACCAAGGAAAAAACTATCCAACCCACGCGGTTCCTATCGCACATTTAATTACAACAGCTACCTCGGGACGTGTGTGTGTTGGTTGCAGTAACATTTCTGAGACACGAGATACTTTGCAATCCCTGACCGAAGTACCGGCTCACAATTCCAAGTTGTTGGGATACCAAACTCGAGCTGCACGGTCTTTTATTTTCTTGGACAATTTGCATTTGAACAGGACCGAAGTCCAGACGCGCGTGTTTCAGTGTACTGCTGAATATGACCAAAGCAATTGAATTGCATATCAGGAAAGAATACCGATTCCTTCTAATGGATGTGTATTGTTTGGTAAATCCTTTGGACTATTTTGGCTGCTTTTCTGGTGTATAGCAACTTAGATTTACATAACTCTCGTTCTTCTGTGTTAAGTCAGAAACAGCCTTCTCTTTGTTGAGTTACTGTTTAGCAAAATGCATTTAGTGTGTGTTTGTTCCTATGCGTCCCTGATAAACTTATCCGCTATCTTAAACTCGAGTGGGAGGGAGTTGGGGGCGTGGCAAATGTTGATACGAGGTGGGCCTGAAGTTCAATAAGGGGTGTACCTAAAAAGTACAAATATAGTTCTCGGCTTACACAATTTCAAAACGTTTTATCCGTTTGTTGGCCACGTGACCTGGTCACTGGGCAGTGTCCCCAGGGATACATAAAGGTAAAGATAAAGGTAGATACATTCCGGGCACACTATGGCTGTAGTACACTCACTGATGATGGCCCCCTTCAGTGGCCAAAGCATTGTGTGCCAACTATTGTTTCAGCTAATCCATCATTGACCAGTTGCCTTGTACAATAGCTGGCACAGCGCTTCCGCCATTGAAGGGGGTCTCCTCGAACGTTAACTTATAGTGTGCATGGAACGCTTTATACCGCTAGGACATATACCTCAACTTCTGGAATTCAATAAGTTGAGTAATACGTTTTGTACAGGACACTTTAGCTTTAATTGTACCGAATTCCAAATTGTATCGGTGACTTTACTCAGTGCCTGTCGTAATTCAACGTGATAAGATTTCTGATGCATGTGTCTGTGCGTTGAGCCTGCAGTTATGACACACTAAACGACTCGGTGCGTGCACAGGCCTATAGTTTACGAACTGGGAGTGTATACTTGAGATTTTCCCGGCAAAGAAAGCTAAATAAAAAAAACCCGGCAAATTGTACTTGGAGGCAAACTTGTACTGTACTAGTCTTGGTTCATACTTTGATGTAATTCCGACAAAACTACTATAAGAAATCTTTGAAATTTATTTTCTAGTGGGAAACTGCAGTTATCACTAATCAGTGGTGTTCGTAAGTTATTGCTGGCACGTTTGAGTCGTGTAGCGGCTCAAGTAGGGGAAGTCTCGGCGGAAGAAACCGCTTATAAGTCGGTCAGAATGGCCCCAGTACGTCTTGGGTGGATTTTTTTCTTCCCTTCTCCGGCCCCGGGGCTACAGTTTGACACGGACTCTGCTCTGACTGGCTTGATACCCTGTGGAGTTAACGGGGGCGGAGCCGCCGTCACGCCCGCTCGCTCTGCCGAGACGATCGTTGTCCCCCGTCGCTCACTTTTAACTTTCTCTAATTTTGTCCGGGTTTTTTTTTAAGCGAATCGGAACTTGCACACATCACCGAATGGCAAAGTACATGTGACACCACGGAACAGCCAGACATAATGATCGCATACTGCCCGAAGCGACGCTATTATAAACCTCTGCAAGACTGCTTTTGTCTAGTGTGCACTTTTTTAACATTGTGTGAGCGATTCACTTTACCGGTGCAAGACACGGCAGAGAAAACTGTGCGCTACTGTAATTTTTCAAACCGTATCTCTATTCACGCATTTATAATAGTCATTTATTACGTAATTCCTGAGAATAATTCCAAGGTAACACTCGACATTATTGGACATTAATACTCATGATTAAAATCTTGGTATATTCTTCCAATGTACATTAACGCTATGCATTGTTTTTCAGTGCAATGTAAGATCTGTTACTGATATTCCTGATAAAATTGGCGCCATACTTTCAAGATGAAAAACCATTTCAAATTTACTTGCACCTGAGCCTTTTGTCAAAATGCCTTCTACTTGTAATTTACTAACTGGTTCCTTTGGTAAACGGAAATGCTATAATGCCGAGTTGCTTCGACCAATTCCCGAGTCTGTGAACACTGTTTTTCATTTGTAGCACCCTTATAAAATTACCGCAAGATCACCATGTTTAAAAAGACCATTACACTTCAGGGACCAATAACAATGAAATCGCCTAATACATGCACAGTCCGTTACTTTGTCATGAAATAACCCACGGCCAAAGTAACGCTGAATGCGATTACAACTGAAGCTGAGATTCGGGAGTGATATATCTTGCAAATTACCCAAAGACATTGAAATGAAATAAAGATGACAGGCCTAATCTTAGCAATTTCCATAGGCAATATTGTCTCTCATCATCGGGCCGTTTTTGACACCCGACGTACTTAAAGTAAAGCACGCGAGGGTTGGGTAAAGCCCAGAGTGCTATCAAAACAAATGGCATCTTGATTGATCACGTGCGATTTACAAGCAATGATAAATTGTGTATAGTGGGCCGCGCAGCACAACACAAGGCTAGACCCACGGTCACTGGAGACAGATTAACTTGGCGTTAATGGCTATAAGACCTCCGAGACGCAGTGATACCGACTTGGGAGTAAAGCCGAATGTAAATGTGATCCTTGGAATAATTGGATTCACTCAACGAGGTTTTGACTTGGGCCCCACTCCACCCAGACCCCTTCGGCTGAGAGACAAGATTTGAGAACGGAAGACGTTCTTTAGGTTTGAAAAAATAAATAAACAGTTTTTATGGCTTTCGAAACACATTGCGTCACACTGACGAATGGTAGTCAAATCAAAGGTCTCTTGAGTGCCAACTTTGGTCCGTGCTATGTAGGGGGCATTTCTTTTATTTATTTGTAATCACTCACGAAATGAAACTTCGAATTTCCGCTATTCAGCTGAGTGAGAACCAGACATTACACACATGCATTCTTTTTCAGATGAGATTGAAGTTGAGTCAAGACCGAATCATTGTATTTACTGTCAGATTGTGAGTTTTATGAGGACTAAATCAAATGTTTTACCGAAATGAGAATGATGACTGTTATCTGTTTTCCTGTGTAAGTTTTCGTTCGTTGTATATAAAGGGTGTTCATGAATGCGTATTGGTAGAAGTGAACAGTGGGGATAGCTGAAGTTTGCGTATTTCTAATTTCTATTAACTTGTGAGTGTGCAAAGTAAGTGGCATGCTCACATTTACCAATCAATAACATGCACTTTATTGTATTTATATTGAATTGAGCGAGCCACATGTCGTTTTAATACATTTTTTTATAACCGAGGTCACTTTCGTTTCGACTCACGCTGTAGTTTTCACTGAACAGTTTGTACAGAATTTGCAATGTGCCTCAAAATAAATCTTTCTAAGGATTGGAATGTTAATTGCGCTCAGCGAAATGTATCCCTAACATGTTAGTGCCATCGTTTCTCTAGGCTGGTGCCCATCCTGGTTTATACCTACGGAAAAACAGAAGGACAACATGTTGTCTTTTCCGAAGGTATAATATCGAATGTCACGCATCAGGAGAATTGAGAAATCAAGTGTACAGTTAGCCGAATGGCATTGGTTGCGAAGTTCCATGTCAATATTATTTTTCAAGACTACGATAACTATCGATTGTAATGACATTAAGGACTCTCGCCATACGACCCTAGCACACACAACAGCAGGCCAAACTGCTGTTGAAAATTTATCTCTTTTTTTTTCTTTAAATTTAATCGGGTTTCAAAATTGTACCTCAGCATAGGAATGGTGCGATATCTCGGAGGAGATTTACATTCTCAGTCATACATAATTATACAATTTTGCTTCAGCAGTATTTTATGCAAGATTTGTAATCCAACAGGAATAAAGTTATTATTCAAGAAGTCCGTCAATTTGATTATGCAATCATGATATATATATTCGTGCAGCTATGCATTACACTTGAAGCCTGAGTTTGAAGTTAGATCACTTGAATATTTTCTCTCGGTTTTTTCTTCGAAGAAGCTTCAGGATATAAACATGAGACAGAAAAAGAAGAAGGTGCCATTATATGCTTTATATGGTGCACCACTTGTCCACTGCCAGTCATACTTGGGTAGCCATTCACCGTGGAAACCCACTACGGCAATGTTTAGCGAGATGAGACGCGACTCGCCACGGGCCTGTGCAGATTGCGAGCTAGGGTCTCCTCATCATAGGTACCTCATTCAGTGCATTGATGAAGGAGTTACCAAAAGGGCTCTGCCGATACGAAACCGCAGGCGGGCAGCTGTGCCGACATTTAACGCCGCCCGTTATACCAGGCTTTCGTTTGGTGTACGGAGCCGTCGAAAGTAATATCAAATGAAACTATGGCTCCCTAGCATTTTTGCGATCGATATCAGTTGGTTACTTTTATTAGTTCTCGTAGTCTAGATGAAGTCAAAGCTTTCGTAACTGACCTTTTTTTTGTTTTGTTTAAAGGGACGCCCTAATTGTGTAATATGTTTATACTGGATGTTTTGTCTTAGTCAAATTAGCGCTGTCGGGCAGAAGGGACAAGGCAACGCCGGAGACATAAGATGCGCAAACATTGTGTTATCCTCTGTCGTTGCATATACCATGAGCAATTACGTCTGATTAAATTTAGGACATGATTAACGAGGAATATTGACCTTGAGCTTCGGCTACCTTGTAAGTCAGGTTCCCTAACGTACACAGCAGATATAGCACGGTGCCTTCATTTGTCGCCAGGATATCTTGTCTTGATTAGATTCTACTAATAACGTAATTATTTAATAAATATTGTATAATTGCAA